TTGAAAATCAGTAGCTGTAAACCCAGCATGTGGTGAAATCATGTATTGAAGCGAAAGACATATACAGACACAATTGATAAAAATTGATGAAATTTAACTTATTCCAATTATTTATTTATTTATTATTTGTTGCCTTTTTCAGTGTGGCTGTACATTATTGAATTAAGCAAAACAAGTATTTTTGTACTTCATCCCATTAGAATAGAGATTACCCGTAATCAGAATCACTTGGCATGATGCTACTGCTCGCGGTCAACTCATTAGAATCGAAATTTACCACTATCAAGCCATTAGACACCATATTAGTATTTAAAATATAGTATCGGTACATATTTTAATAGCGCAATAGTAGTAAAATTGCTAATAGTAGTAAAATATAGTAGTCAAATATAGTTTAATAGTAGTAAAATTGCCCAGTGTTGGTGTAGTTTTAATAACTAACAAGTATCTCAATAGAATACTTTTTACTTCATTAGTATATTTGGTACTTTTTGCATATGCCTTAATTATTTAAGCTTTCTACGAAACAATCAGTAATAATAAATTAAAGTCAAAATTATGAAAACAAATAACATAATTATTATCAAACATTTCTAAACACTTTAGACCATGATCATTTCTCTATCCGACCTTAAATATACTGTTTAAAGTATTTATACGTAGTTATGGAAAAAAGACACAAACACACAGTTTCATTCATTTTATTATACAGATATTGAAACACAATTTTATTATTATAATTATTTAAAAATGGATTTAATCTTTACAATTTCGTCAAAGGAGCAACGTGCTGCACAGAACGAATTTTAAACGAATTTAAAAAAAATTCCAGAGAAAACCATGTCACCAGGTAATTCAATATGGTATCAATTGGTTTCCTATATAGTTATGTAGTAAGCTAGTGTTGCCAATCAGTCTAATGAAAAACTTTTAAAATCTTATTTTTTAAGAAAAAATAATAAAAATTATGAGTTTACCCTACCCACATATTTTATTTGAATAAGGAATATAATTTGCTAATTACTTTTAACAAATGGCTAAAAAAATGTTTTTTTTTTAAATTTCTTTTATTGAATAATGAATTATCTTTACCTTATAAATAAATATCACGCAATTAGATCATAATACTTAGAATAGTTAAAAAATGGAATAATTTATAATCATCATTACATATTTTCAGATAAATAATTTACATAATTGCATACATATTCAATATTGCAATTATCTTTACAATACCATCCATTGTAATTTTCAAATAGAATATTGAATTCAAAATAATAAACCTTTATTATAATAAATACGTCTTTTTTAATAGAGTTAATGAGTTTAGAAATGACAAAGATAATTTAATATTGTTTACGAAAATACTTGGCACTTTTCGAATTTGAATAAAAAACTAATTCTGTGTAATGCATAATTATCGAAGTCGATCTTATTACAGAAAACAATTAAAAGAATTTATTGCCATTTTATTCCAAAAACTATTGTACTAAATGAGATACATTGATTTTTCCAACTTGCAATTATTTTACCTTACCGTTAACCTTTCAATTATTAAACACTGTGATTTTTACTGAGAAAAATAAATTAAATAAATATTAAACTTATAATTATAGAGCGAGTTTTCGACGGAATTAACGAGTTTTTAAGTATTGCGTTTTTAATATTTGAATAAGTAATTCATTTGTTTCTGATACTTGACAATTATGCTACAACTTAAATTGAAAAAGTAAATATTTATTATGCTCCATTTTGAAAGAAAATAAGCTTTGTTGACCTATCCCGTTTATCTTATCCATGTCTGATTGCCAGTAACTACATGCAAATATTGCCAGTAGATGCAAATATTGCAGCATAAACTAGCATGACGTGCAGAATTCAAAACAACTTCGCAGTCTCATTTAAATATAGAAATGCATTAATCATAGCCAGTTCTCCTTTTACGTTACATTAACTAAAGATAAATAGATGCTTGGCTCTATAAATTGGAGAAAAAAAAACTTATAAACTGAAGCATTTAAAATATATATCTGTTCTAATTATTTCAAACTTTAGAATGGGGGGAAATATTTATAAGCTACTTATATAAATTTGGAAATATAGAGTAAACGGCATTTAAATATTTTAATATTTCCTAACAATATATATCTTCATTGTTTGTAGGAGGTATTGTTGCCACTTTATCCCGAATTAGAATTTTGTTTAAATTTTCCTAAATTCTGATACTTATTTCTTTATGATATACAGGGTATTATGTAACTCCTACCCTTAATAAACATTATTAGAAACTTTGTCAAGAATGAAGTAAAAACTTCTTAGCAATAGGGGTCATAAATTAATATTTAAATAAAAAATAGTAAAAACGATATCAAAGTCGGTAGAATCCATATCGAGTATTTGAAAAGAATATTGGCAATTCCCTTTATTTTCATCGTAAAATCAGCACTAAAAATCAATTTTTTTACTGATTTTTGTTATCTTTTAATTTACGCAGTTTTTTCAGATACGATCAGAATTACAGCGAAAATTGATGCCATTTGCCTACAATATGATCTACTTGCATAGGTAGAATTATATATTGCAACTCAGGAAGAGTAATTAAGCTTGGTTCATTATAGCACTGAGTCAATTTTCAGGTCAAATTTAATTAGATACCTGTAAGCGACGTCACGCCCGTGTGGCGAACCTGATTGGCTTTAGAATCAGGGAATAAACGAATGCCACGATTTATTCACGATGGCGTCTCTTTAAGATATCCGATAACATTTATATGCTACTTTGAGCCGTGATGGCTCAGGAGATATGAGCGTTCGCCTTCCAATCAGATGAACCAGTTTCGAATCCCAGAGATAGCTGGTAGAAACGGATTCCGCATCCGACTTGCACTAACCTCAGTGCTGACGTAAAATATTCCTCAGTGGTAGACGGATCGTTCGGGTTAGAGTTCCAGTGCCGTCAGGGCTAACCATGAGAGGTTTTCGTGCTTTTTCCTTCCATGCCACGCAATTGCAGATTAGATCTATCAAAAAGTGCTTTACGAAGGCAAATTACTCCCAATACTTAGACCTAGGAGTTCCTTTGTCTTCTGGATTGGGTTCAAAATTATAAGGCTATCCAGTTGAAAATCAGTAGCTGTAAACCCAAAAAAATGGGTCTGATGTTCCACGACTGTTATAAAAAAGTAAAATAAAACTATATGCTGTTTTAGTTCAGCTAACAAGAGACCTTTAAATTATAAACATACATTGTGTTGTATGATTGCAATGTATGCATTTTAAGTAAAATACGCGTCTTGTTAGTAGGTGACGCAGTTTGCATTGGCTGCTGAAGGTATTTGTGTGTTGTAATTTCATTGGTCTTTTCCCTCTTTTAATTGACAGTTTGATTATCATGGCTTCCAATTCTTCTAGTGTTCCTTTCTGCATTTCTTTTTTTCATTTCTTCAAGAAAAATAAATATCGTAATGTTAATGGAATCTAAGAAAAATCCTTACAAAACTTGCGAAGGAATATATACACTGAAGAGCCAAAAAAACTGGTATACCTGCCTAATAACGTGTGGGCCTTCGGCTCCGAAAGCCCATATCGATGATGTTTCGTTGAATGGTTCTTTCGTTGAATGGTATTGACTACTTGTTGATGGCCCAAAATTGAAATCTGCTACAATTTGTGGAAGGGTTGCACGTCTGTCACTTTTAATGATTCTCGTCAATCGTCGTTGATCCCGTTCTTGCATGATCTTTTTCCGACCACAGAGATGTCGTAGATTTGATGTTTTACCGGATTTCTGATACTCACGGTATATACTCGTGAAATGGTCGTAAGTGAAAATCCAAATTTCATTGCTATCTCGGAGATGCTATGTCCCATCTCCCGTGCGCCGACTATAACACCACGTTCAAACTCACTTAAATCTGTATAACCTGGCATTGTTGCAGCAGTAACCGATCTAAGAACTGTGCTAAACACTCGTTGTCTTATATACGCGTTGCCGACCGCAGCGCTGTACTTTGTTTGGCTCCATACCCCTTTATTTGTCTACTCATGCCTGTACCAGTTTTTTTGGCTCTTCAGTGTAAATCAGTGAAGTTACTTTAAACAAGTAATATGACAAAAAAATATTTAAGTTCGCCCCTACTTAAGTCAGTTTATTTTAGTTAATTTTTATTAAATAATTAAAAAATTTTCTTCCATATAAAACTAAAATTAATTAATTAAATTTAATTAATGAATTAATATTTGAAAAAAACTGCATTAACATCAAGTGTCACCTCTACAAGTTTCAAAAAATGTATTTGAACGTGAGTGGAGGAATAAAAATATTTTATTAACGATTGCAATAATCCTTATGCACGTTGAGAGCTGATAGTAGGAATTGAAATAAATAATAGTAATAAATAATAATTGAAGTTACTTTTAAAAAAAACCCTAATGAAATGAGAAGGATTCAGATGCGGATGATTTTAAAAAAAAAATGAGCAAACGAGATTTTTTAAATTAGAAGTGTTACACCTGTTTTTTGAGAAAAAAAAAGACATCAATTAAGTAATTATATGAAAATTAAGTACCATATTGCAAAATTTAAGATGACTTATTGATACTAAATGTTAATTTATATTCAGAATATTTCGATTATCCGAAATAGGTCAGCTTCTTCGGATAGTCTGGATCATGAAATTGGAAAGAGAATTCACCATGAAATTGTAAAAAGTTTTTTTCCTGTTCTATAGGGATTTCATAGAAGGAAAAAAACTAATTCATTTCCTGACCACGAGATGCTTTTTTTTCTACTTAAATATTTAAAAAATCTATGATAAAAGTTCTTAGATTAGTTTTTGACTTTCTGTATTTTCGAATTGAAAGGGTTTTCTTTTCGGTATTTTTAGAAAGGGAGAAAAATATAAATATTTTATATTGTTAAATGAATTTTTGTGTGTGGTCTCGTGTTTTTATTGTTATATTTTTTTGTAGCTTTTAAAAGAAAATTATATATTTATTTTTATGTTTTCATGTCTGATTACAGATGCGTCTGATATCAAAACAAAATCAACTAGTTCTGCAGATGATATTCCTGGTAAGTGAATTTTTTTCTTCTCAGTAACTCGAAAGATATTTAAAATCGTAAATAATGAATACTGTTTCATAATTATCTAACGCTGATATTTGCTTATATTATTATTTTTGTTTAATTGTTTCCGATAATACTTACTTACTTTTGTGCATAAAAATGACAGTCTTTTAAATATCTTCCATGTGCAAGTGAGAAAAAATAAGTACTTCAAAAATAAGAACTAAAAATGAAAACTAGACATTGAAAGAAAAAAAATCAGATAAGTTCTACCTTTAGAAATCACAATCTGTTTTTATACATAATACGTGACTTTCAAAAAAATATCATTCACAAACCTGGCATTGTACATTGCCGTTTCTGAATAAATAAAAAAGTAAATTTAAACAAAAGCGATACAAGTTTCAAAAATTATGCAAAGTTTTTAGAATTGTAATTCATTATGAAATGTCTTATGGATAAGATATTTTTGTCTAGTGATTGAATATTTTTACACTGATTAATGGTACAGGTGTAAAACAATTTATTTTTGTTGTTTTTAAAATGAAAATTTTATTTTGCTTCATTCATGTTTTATTAATTCAATCAAAATGGCGCAAATATGAACGATATTTTTTTCATAATTGGGTATAATATAGCCTACGTCACAGGTTGTGTTGTTCCTACTAAATTTAACCCATGAACGGCATTTTCTGCGAGCCTAACTTCAAGCCACAAATAAACAAACGAAGTGTTCGATCGTTTAAATAGCTGCTCGCCAGATTTTATTGCATTATAAAGAAAAGTTATTGAAACTAAATACAACTAAATAAACAACAACAACTAAAACAAATAACAACAACTACTAATGTCAATAACTAAATAAACAACTAAATGCCATTCGTTTAGCATTGCGTCATATGTTGTTCCTACTAAATCGAAGTAGTTGTGTTTTTTTCATATTATACCCAATTCTCAATGTATTAAAAATATGTATTTTTAGAATTATAAATCCATAAAATATTCTCGTCTGGTGATCGAAGATTTTTGTTATCAATGACGGTATTTGTATAAAATAATTTATATTTCTTTTCGAAAACTACAATTTATTTTGCTGCATTTTTGCATTATTAATTCAATCATAATGCGTAAATATGAAAGATATTTTTTTCATAATTCTCAATGTATTAAAAATATTCCATAAGACATCGTCTGGTGATCGAATATTTTTACAATGATTGATGGTATTTGTATAAAACAATTTATATTTGTTTTCGAAAACGACAATTTGTTTTGTTGCATTCATGTTTTATTATTTCAATCAAATTGTGCAAACGATATTTTTTTTCATAATTCTCAATGTATTACAAATATATATTTGATTTTTTTTGCAATGGAACAGATAGTATTAATCATTTACCATCAAGAAGTATTCTTTTGTGTTTCGATTCTGTAGTTTAAAATGAATAGCAAGAAACTACGAATTGTTTCAACACAAATATTTCGAAAAATGAGCGAAATAAATCTTCTAGGAGTAATTTATCAAATGGTTTTCCACTACGTTGAAAATGCCATTTCCATATGGATCGAAAACTACCATTTGGATAAGATACTTCAGAAAATATGTTTTAAAAAATAATATTCAACAAGAAACATCGAAATATTCTAGATGTTCAATAAAAAATAAACTGTTGATATCAAGTTTTTTTTCTCCTATCTTTCTTAAGACTAAAACAAATAATTAATTACCAACTAGAATTAATTGATCGGATATTTTAGAGCTGAGCCTAATTGTAAAATCAATAGAGGAAGCTGGATTTGTAAGATATTTTTAATTTAAAAGTAATTTAGTTCAAGCGTTAAACAGACTTTGAAAAGTTGAAGATTTGGGTATTTTGTTGTATGAGAAAGAAAAAACTTAAGTTGTGCAATTAAGAGAGGAATAAAAAAAAATTATTTTATATTTTGCTGTGCTTGAATATCACTGATAGGTTAAAATGAGTGAAGGGATTAAAATAATATATGCTCTGAGTGCACAATACTTCCTATTTTTACTGCAGCTCTGAAAAATTTCATGCTTAAAAAATTGAACATTTGAAATACTGTGTTCAGTTTAACATAGTAATAGTATTTTTTCTTGGTCAACATAAAAAAATTAAAACCGTACAGTAATTATTCAAACTATAAATAAAATTTTAATTGATATTTTTAAATACGCTTGAGGTTACGATAGACTAATAGAGCTTCGTTTTGCTGGCGTAGTTTCGCAAATACTTCTCACAAAGCAGAAATAAACGTCAATGATAAAGATGGGGAGCCATGATGGCTCAGGAGATAGAATTTTTTCCTTCCAATGAGGTGAACCTGATTTGAATTTCAGCTATGGCTGTTCGATACGAATTCGGCATCCGGCTTGCACCGACCACAGTGCTGATGTAAAACATCCTCAGCGGTTGACGGATCATGGGTTAGTCTCGTTGCCGTCAGGCTAACCGTGGGAGCTATTCTAAGTTTTCTTCACAATGTAACTTCAAATGTGGGTTAGCTCTATCAAAAAGTTCACCACGAAGGCAAATTTCTAACTATACTTGATCCAGGGGTTCCCTTGTCTTCTGGATTGGGTTCACATTTAGGCAAGGAGGTGAACATTGGTAGTCGTAAACCCAAAAAATCAGGTCGGCTGTTCAACGACGGTTATAAAATAAAACGATCGTAGATTTCCTAAAACAAAAATTCAAGCATTTAACTATGAAAAAGAAATAAATAAGAAATATAAAAATAATAAAATATAAAACAATTTTGTTAAAATAAAAAAAAACTAGGAGAAATAAAATTTACAATAAATAAACTTTCAAATAATTTTCAAATAGTAAAAGTCAAAAAAGGAATCTCCTAAGCTAATCATATTGATTTAATTGCACTAAACTAAAAAAAGTTTGTTATTTCCAATGAGCTGCACAATCAGTCTTGCCGATGAGCAGACCTAGTGCGTTCTCTGGAGGTGGTATCTACTCTTTCAGGACCACCACAATGGGTGAGATACCGTTGGTCATGTTAATTTGGACGTCTAGTTTCTGCCGCACTAGACGGCAGCACCGAGACTCTATTTAGATGCTAAATTTGGACTAAACTAAAAATACAGATATAAATAAATATGATGAAATTAAATTAAACTTACAAATATAAATAATTATTGGAAGCATGCGTTCTCAATGAAATTCTTTTTTTTCTCATTATAGCAGTAAGCAGCAAAAACTTCTGAAATGACGCATCTGATTCGACACAGAAAATGATTCTTTTGATCGTGATCAACTTGTGATAGTCAATATTTTATATCAAAGCAATGTTTCTTTTGAATCGGCACTTAGTGTCCATTCGTTTTAAAAATTTGACTATACATTATTTGGGTTTATGCAAATACGTTTCAAAAGCGTAACTATGAAAAATAAACACGGTTTCAAATAGTTTTCAAAACGCTGATTCGATGACTCTTAACCACGAAATTATTCATGTTACTTTTTTATGTACTCATATGACACAAAAAACTATAGATAGATAATTATTAAAAATGTGCTACAAACTTTCTGTGGAATTAAGTTTTTCTTTTAAATGGAGCTGTAAACTAAAATAGGAATCGTCTGCAATATAAATTGTAACAATGTGCGATGAGATAGTTTTCAAGACACGAATTCGGTGACATCACTCTTAACCACGAAAATTATTCAGGTTAATTTTTAATGAACTCACCTGACTTAAGGAACTAAATATAAATAATTATTTAAAACGTGCTACAAGCTCTCGGTGAAATTAAGTTTTTCTTTTAAATGGAGGTACAAACTCTTGGCGAAATTAATTTTATCTTTTAATTGGGTGTACTATAGCCTACGTCACAGGTTGTGTTATTCCTACTAAATTTAACCCATGAGCGGCATTTTCTGCGAGCCTAACTTCAAGCCACAAATAAACAAACGAAGTGTTTGATCGTTTAAATAGTTGCTCGCCAGATTTTATTGCATTATAAAGAAAAGTAATTGATATTCGATTTTTGATTAATAATTGATTTATGGGGATAGTGGCATTTATGTGGATAGTGGCATAGAATTTAGCATTGCGTCATGGTAAATGTTATTCCTACTAAGTGGAAGTAGTTGTGTTTTTTTTATATTTACCCAATTGGAGCTGTAAAAAATAGGAATCGTCTGCAATATAAATTGTAACAATGTGTGATGAGATAGTTTTCAAGACACGAATTCAGTGACACCACTCTTAACGACGAAAATTATTCAGGTTAATTTTTAATGAACTCACCTGACATAAGAAACTAAATATAAATAATTATTTAAAACGTGCTACAAGCTCTCGGTGAAATTAAGTTTTTATTTTTTAAATGGAGCTGTAAATAAAATAAGAATCGTTTGCAATTTAAATTCCAACAATGCTTAATGTGATTCCTATGAATTAATTTTCAAAACACTAATTTGGTGACCCCACTATTAACCACGAAATTATTCATGTTATTTTTTTATGTACTCACCTGGCAAAAAGAATTAAAAGATAAATAATTATTAAAAATGTGCTACAAACTCTCTGTGAAATTAAGTTTTTCTTTTAAATGGAGCTGTAAACTAAAATAGGAATCGTCTGCAATATAAATTGTAACAATGTGCTATGAGATAGTTTTCAGGACACGAATTCGGTGACACCACTATTAACCACGAAAATTATTCGCGCTTATTTTTTAAGTACTAACCTGACATAAGGAGATAAATTAAATAATTATTAACAGCATGCTATAAATTCCCCTGCGAAACTAAGTTTATATTAAACGGAGCTGTAAACTAAAATAAAAACAACCTGAAATTTAATTGTATTAACGCGCTATGTTTTCCCTATAAGAAAATTCGTTCTAATGTTCTAATGCCAACAATGAATTACCCCATGCTTCGATTTTTCACTAATCTAAGCTAAATTCCATCGCTCTAAGTTGGATGATTTAGGAGTCTATAAAAGGCAGACATTTATTTTTATATGTATAGATCTAGATCTATTGATTTTACAATTTTTTTTCCTTTAATCCAATATTGGAAAACCAATGTTTTTAATTGCAATGGGAGTTTAAACTCACCAAAGATAAATGATGCACTTATTAGCAAGTTTTTTCTTCGTTTTATGTTTAACATAAAAATTAATATACTTCAACCAATGTGCATATTTAACGAGCAAAAGTAAAGATTCTATGCAAAATTAAGTATATAAAAAATAACATGCAAGAGCTGTTTTATATTCTACAAAAATTTAACATTTCAAAAGTCACGGAAATAATTTAAGAGAGCACTTAGAATTTATGGGAAATTTTATTGGAATTTATTGTAAATATATAGTATAGCTATAGTTTTAAGTTCATCGATAGTTATTTAATCTAATCACAAAGCGTATTTTCTATTATCTAACTCTGGAAAGCCAAAAATTATCATTTAAATAACAATTTTAGATAGATAGATATGCAGAAAGGACATTTAAATTACCATGTCTTTTAATAGATTAAATGTAATCTTATCGAAAAATGTACGCATTGTTGTTTACATGGAATTAAATGATGATTCTGAATAATAGACGGAAAAAGTTTACTTGCTGCAGTTAAATTAAGAGTTTTTTCATCACTTTTAAAATTATTTCATGTTGGTACAAAATCCTTATTTACTTATTTTTATTTTTTGTCTATGTAACAGTTCTGATAAGATTAAAATAGCATATAGTACTAGAACATATCGTGCACATAGAACTGTTATTCAAAAGCTCAGATTGATGTAGGCAAACTTTAATTTTTATTTTTTACTTTCAATGCTTCCGAACTGTTACGAAAGAAAAATATGTTAAATTACAGTGTCTATTTTGATATGAATATTTTTGGTTATGAACTCGTCGTTGTCGAACTAGAATTTAAAAAAAAAATTTGTTTATTGTACAACAAATTTAATTAGAATGAAATATTGTATTAAATTTCTTGTTGATACATACAAGTTCTGCTTCCATTAGTGCATTACAAAATTGCACTATCATTGAACTTAATTTGAAACATAAGAAAGTGCTACGTCGCATTTGCTGCTACTTTTGGGATTACAGGGATAATTAGGTACCAGCAAGCAACGCCGCGCGTGAATATCGAAAATGGTTGACTGCTGCATCCTGACATTTGTTTATATCAGGATTCAGCAACCAAAGAGGTTCGACACCACTGCTTTCAGCCGAAGTTAAAATTCTTGATGGTCCCATTAAAACATTTTGATGATTTATGTTGGTTTCAGTGCGATTCATGATGGTCCAACATCATTTGATGGTTACCATCGTCCAACATTTTCTATTAAGCGTTCATGGTTTCTGATATGCCAGCCAACTTCCCTCATTCCATAATGGAAAATGCTAATTTAATACTATGATGGTTAACTATCAAAAGAAGTTTGATTCTCATGGACCAACAATCCGTGATGGTCCGTGATAGTTTCAACTATTCATTTCCATTATGGTTCAATGAGAATTCTTGTTGGTTCTCAGGAATATACCGTCTATTTCCTATTATTATTAGTTGACCATTATATATCAGTCCGAATTCCTACTTTGGGGTGATGGTTATTTATGTTGGTAACCATCAAAAAGTACAATGGTTCATCATGAAATTACTGATGGTTACCATCAAGATTATGTTGGTCCATCAATGAAAAACCATTAAAAAGTCTGATTTGGGAGTCGATTGCTGGTTCCCAACTAAATACGATCCGAAAATTGATTCAACCTTGATAATAACTAACCCTAATAACTGTAATGTTAACTTGCTTGTCACCGTGTATGTACGCTAACATCTGATTTCAGCAGGATTCTGGAGTTGCAGGTACTCAATTGCAAAAAAAAAATCCTTTTTTTGGAAATATTACAAAGAATTTGTGAAAATAGGGTCGCAATTTTGTAAAAAAAATTACAAAAGTGAATGTTTTACCTCGATGGTTAGTGAATAGATAAGCATGATATTTAAAATCTAAAATTAATAGGATTCTTTCTGCCAGAGGCCTTGGTATTCAATGTATAAAAATAAAGTCTTGTATTCGTGTGAGAGAGAAGAAAACTTGTTTTTCAATCGATATACAGTTTTTGGACAGATTATTAGACGCACTCTAAGATTCTATGTAAAATCTTAATTATCAGGTGATACTCTACGAGGCCTGTCTAAAAAGTATCCGACCTTAATTTTTCCTGCGCAAAGCAGTGACTTTAAGGCGGCGCCTTAGTGCACTGTGGAAGGTGGAACCTTAATGCACATGACGGAATTTTTTCACCGTGTTCACTTGTGCAACTCGCTGGCTGTTGGTCGCCAAGTAAGGTGCTGTTCGTAGTGTTCGTCGGATTTAGTTTTCTCGCAAGATGACTGAACGAATTGAGCAAAGATACTGTATGAAATTCTGTCAAAAGCTTGGTGATTCTCAAAGCCAAACAATTCGTAAGATTCAGCAGGTGTTTGGAGAAGAAGCGATGGGTGTAACACAAATTAAGGAGTGGTTCAACCGATTCAAAGATGGCCGCACATCAGCGGAGAGTGAGCAACGTTGTGGCAGGCCTCGAACTGCTCAGAGTGCAATTAATGTTGAGAGGTTGCGAAATTTGGTGATGGCAGATTGTCGTTTGGCAGTGCGGGAGATTGCAGAAGAGGTTGGAGTGAGTAAAGATTCTGCACATGCAATTTTGCGTGAAGATTTGAACATGAACCGAGTGGCTGCAAAATTCTTACCCAACTTGTTGTCGCCGGAACAAAAAGCACGCCTCTGCACATTCATCCCAATTGATCCACACTTTCTTAGCCAAACTTGGAATTACAACCGTTCGCCAACCTCTCTACTCTCTAGACCTGTCTCCTTGCGACTTCTGGTTGTATCCAAAATTGAAGACGCCACTGAAAGGATCCAGTTTTGAGAGTAGAGAAGAGATAATGTTGAACGCGACGACGGAGCTGAACACCATTCCAAAAGAAGACTTCCAGAGGTGTTTCCAGCAGTGGAAGGATCGGTGGGTTAAGTGTGTGGAGGCACAAGGGGCCTACTTTGAAGGGGATTAGGGTCCCAACTCCGTCAGGTATTCGAAATATTTTTTCCGGCCAAAGGTCGGATACTTTTTAGACAGGCCTCGTATACAGCTTTATTGTTTTTACAAGACTGAAACCGGTTTGCACTTGTTCACGTTCGTGTATCAATCGGTTAAATTAGACGATATACAATATAAATTTGATGATTGGATACATTAGACGATATATTTTATAAAAATAGAATACTTATTATATCGGGTATTATATTAGTGTATTATAATAATTAGACCAAATTATTAGACGCATTATAATCCTATGTAAAATCTCAATTATCTGGAGATACTATACAGCTTTATTGTTCTTACGCGACTGAAATTGATTTGCACTTGTTTACGTTAGTGTATCAATGGGTAAAATTAAACGATATATAATATAAATTCAAAGATTGGATACATTAGACGATATATTACATAAATATGGAATATTTATTATGTCAGGTATTATATTAGTGTATTATAATAATTAGACCAAATTATTAGACGCATTATAATCCTATGTAAAATCTCAATTATCTGGCGATANAGATTTTACATAGAATCTTATAGTGCGTTTAATAATTTAGCCCGGGACTAAAAAATAGTATTTAAAGTAACATATTATACTATTATAAGTACAGTATTAAACTATCTAAAGCAAAGTATTTGAGCATCTAAAGTAAAATATCAAATTAACCAAATTTTACTGAATTTTTATTTCCCAATTTAGAATATCCAGAGCTTCAAGCAATTATTGGATCCACGGTGTATTTGCCATGTAATCTCAGCACCCCATCCCGCGACGATTCCATTTCTTTGGTTCTGTGGTATAAACGCGAAAATCCAAATCCAATTTATACCCTGGATGCTCGCAGTTCCTTCACAGCTGATTCAGCCAAGCACTTCTCGAGCAAGTACTTGGGATCAAGAGCTTACTTTAATGTCACAATTAGAAATCTGGGTCACTTGAGACTGAATCCGGTGACGGAAGAGGATGCGGGAGAATACAGATGTAGAGTGGATTTTAAAAGAGGTCGCACTATGAGTAGATGGATTACGTTAACTATCGTTGGTGAGTAGTCGATAAGCTTATTATTTTTGCAGTTAACTAGAAATAAGAGTTAATGTACTCATGGAGAGATTATCCGAAATGATTTTCCGGATTTATGCCTATTGAAATTTTTTTAAGACATAAATTCAAATCGTTTTAGGTTAAAGCATGAGGAAAGTTATATTCAAGTGATTAAGAGCCAGTGGTATTTTGTAAATATCGGCCAAAACAAGTAGCGTTGGACATTTTGGAATTTTTTTTCGAACTTTCAAGATATGTCCTTTATGTGAAACTAAAAAAGAAGTGTTTTTTATTTTTGCACAAATAAATAAATAAAATAAAAAAAAATAAAAAATTGTGATTAGGCAATCACAGGTTACCCATTGGCAACATGGTTGTTGTCTAATTTTGAACGTTTATGAACAGAATCCTTTCGTTTTTCCGTTTGCAAGTAACGCTTTAGGTATTCTCGTCTACGTTCTTTGGCTTTAGGTTTTTCAGCGTCCGTAAGTTTAGGCCTTGGTGTCGTTTTTTTTTCTTGCTTCAACTCCATCGTTTGGGACCGTGTCAATCAGTTTGTGACCCTTTTTATTTTTGAGATATTCACCTGAATTAGTATTGAAAACGATCCAGTTTGAAGTGTAGGTTAGAATTTCTGATTCCTAATTAAAACAACAGGAACAAAAAATATAGTTCAAATAATGAAATTTTCTTTTATTGACAACTCAAGAAGTATTTATGGGATCCCTCTGGTCCCATATCTCAAGAGTAAACTCATTAACTTGATGCATAACAAAATTAAAAGTGAAAAAAAAGGAATTCTAAAAAAAATTATGAGACAGCAGCGGTCACCATAACAACGCACGCAATGACGACGCATGCGCACTGTTTACTATTATTCTTGAACAAAGTTGAAAAGTGTGATGCTAACTATTAACACTGAAATACTTAGAGTGGATCTTTGCATCAAAGGACAAAGTTCATTAAAAAAATCTCAAATAAAGCAGTTTTCTTAAACTTTGACTGCCAAAATGTATTTGTATCAACAGTGACTTACAAAGGCTGCATACCAGCGAGTAGTACCTTAAATTAAACTTATTAATCACGATCAGATGTTATTTTCTTCATTTTTAAACTCACATGGCCTCTAAGTCAAATCCAGAATTAATTTGGAAACATTCTTTAATTCTGAAAACTCCTTAGTTTCTTTAAAAGCTGGACTGTTAAGGATTATCATTTCATGAAAGAAACAGTGTTAAATACAGACTCTGAACTAAAACATTTCCACCAAAAAATAGATATTAGATACTTACATTTTCAATTCTCAGTTCCCTACTTTATTTTTACTACTTTCTTTCACAAATTAAATTAAAAAAATTTCTTTCAGTTCCTGTAAAGAAAGTTGTGATAAAAGGAAAAGATAATTTCAGTTATTCTGGAATAATTGGTCCATTTAGAGAGGGAGAAGGTGTAACTTTGGTCTGTTTGGCCGTAGGGGGTAAGTAGCATTTTTGAACATTAAATGTAGCTTATTCTGTTATTTACTGTTTTTAAATTTTGAAAGTTTCTTTTAAAATTTTTAATTCCCTGTACTTTAGTTTATTTGGTACTAAATTATGTAAGTGATTTCATTAAATAACTTCATTTATGTGTTTTAATTATTTAAGCTTCCGCAAATTATTCAAAAGCTTAAATTTTAATTACAGTTCAAATATTTTTCTTTTTGTTAAGATTTATTGGGTCAAAATGAATTTTATTCAAGCATATTGGTTAAAAAAAGTTTACTTGTTTCATGTAATTATAATTAAGTAATTTTTGACGTTTCAATAGATTACAAATTCAAAGGTACCGTAAACCGGGGCGAGTCTACCCATCCAGGGGCGAGTCTACCCATTTTGGTTTTATTTAATTTTCACTATTTTAAATTGCAAATAAAATTTTTTTTACCGACGGAGGACTTAGTTCAGACTCTAAGGAAGATGGCGCTGTAGTAGTTTGATCCGTTTTTATTTATTTGGTGTCTTTTTAACCGACCTGTTCAAACGT